TCATAATCATAATCATAATCTTTATTGTGCCATAAGATAGTTCTCTTACACTCGTCAGTTCAATTTACAGGTTCACATTTACTACTAAGAAATATCAATATTACATTTTAAAAATTCATCGACGGAGTAAAACGCATTCGAAACCAAGAAATGTGTCAGTTTACGTTTCATAGTAAGAAACGGAAGACTTCTGACATTCAACGGCAACTTATTAAATAGCTTTTGACACATGTATGTTGGACCCCGTTGCGTCATACTCAATCTACACTTATCAACATACACATTACAACGATTACGAGTTGCATATCTGTGAACATCAGCATGATTTAAAAGCTCGTCGAAATTGTTCAGAGCATACAATAAACAATTTAATATGTAAATAGATGGCAGGGTTAGAACGCCTAAACGCACGAAGATGTGTCGACAGTCCTCACTGTATCCCAGGCCTCCCACAACTCTTAGGGCCCTACGCTGTAAGTTAAAAACCCGTTTGCTAGCGGGAGTGTTTCCCCACGCTAAAATGGCGTAAGATATATGGGTTTGTATAAGCGCGAAGTAAGCGGCTTTTACTACTTCTAGTTCCACCTTGACAATAAGGTTTCGTAGCAAAAAGATGTTTTTTGAAATTTTCTTACTTATAGCGTCAACATGATGATCGAACTTCAATATTGGAGTGGTTATGTGAACTCCCAAGAATTTTCCAAACGACGGGTTACCAAAATTAGTAAAATTAAAATTTCTCTGACTTAAAATCATTCTGACTGTTTTCCCATCATTCAAACACAACTCATTCGCGATGCACCAGTTACGTGCTCTATTTAGAACCAATTCTGATCTTTGAATGACCTCTTCAGCTTCATTGCCTCGGATAATTAATGTGGCATCGTCAGCATATAATAAACAGTCAATGTCCCTAAAATAATACGGAAAGTCATTGAAAAACATCAAAAACAAAAGAGGACCAAGGATAGAACCCTGTGGAACACCCCTAGTCAAACTGACTCTCTCCGATGTCGCTTGACCACAAGTCACCTGTTGCGTTCTGCCGGACAAATAAGATCGGATTAGAGCAACACTTTTATCGTCAAAATTATAAACATTGCGAAGTTTATCAATAAGAATTGGATGAGAAACTGTATCGAATGCGCGAGACAAGTCCAATAACAATGACATACAGTATTCACGCTTTTCAAAGCTGTCAAGACAGATATTCACATATTTAACTACCGCGTCAGAGGTGCACCTACCCCTACGAAAGCCAAACTGATGAGGGTGCAATAAATTATTTTGGTCCAAGTATGCGATGATTCTATTGAAAAGGGCCCTTTCAAATATTTTGGAAAAGGTGGGCAGAATACTTATAGGACGAAAATTAGCATTGTTATTCTTATCTGCGCCTTTAAATATTGGAATTACATTAGCTATTTTTAATAAGTCAGGAAATACGCCAGATGAAAAGGAAAGATTCACCAATCGTGTAAGGGGCGCCACATATAGGCCGGTGTTACTTCTCACAAAGTTTGCAGAAATGCCATAAATGTCTTTAGAGTTACTAGATTTTAAACTGCAAAGCAGATCACGAACTTCAATCGGCGTAACTTCACAACACGAAAAGTACACGCCTTCTGGAGGCAGCGTGTGACAAACGTCCATAGCGCAAACAGTTGAATCTGGCAAACCTCGAACCACCTCGTCAGCAATGCCAATAAAAAAATTATTTAATTCATTAGGGTTTAAATGAGAAGTGTCATCATTCATACCACTACGCCTAGTATTATTAATAAGATTCCACATTGCTTTTGGTTTATTCTTGCTCTGCTTAATAACTTCACTCGAAGCCTTCTTTTTTGCATCAGAAATCGCCTTTCTATATTGAATTCTAAGTTTATTTCTAGCATGAAGTAAGTCATCCATTTTAAATTTTCTATAAAGCTCACAAGAAGAGTTATACATATCCCTTATCTGTTTCAAATTGTTGTTAAACCAATTGAGGCCGTCATCACAAGACCTGAAATTTATTTTACATAGAGGAAAAGACGCATGAAAAGCCCCCATAATGACATTATGAAACATTCCATATGCATCATTCACGCTATCAGGAACCTCACTCAAAATTTTCCAATCGAATTGATTCAACATGTTAAAAAAGTTCATTCTACCGCTTAGTGTCAGAGGCCTGTGCAGTTTTGTATTATAGGTTTTAATTTCTTTAACATGATGTGTCGGTATACTAACACTTTGCGCCCTGTGATCTGATAAATTTGATTCAATCACAGTAGTATTGAAATTATTCGTAGAAAAATTAACAAATATGTTGTCAATACAATTATTTATTCTAGTAGGCTGGGACACTGTCGGAACAAAACCATGTGACACAAACAAGTCGCACACCATCGTCGCGTCAGCGCTCCGACCCCCAAACCATACATTAAAGTCACCCGCCACGACAACACGCAACTGATGGCGTAACATAGTCAATGCCGAGCTTACAATGTCGCAAAATGACTGAATATCACCAGAAGGGGATCTATAGACACAAATTATCACTACGTCAAATTTTTTACACAGTATACCCGTCATCTCACAATGTTTTTCCACAGATAATTTATTAATGTTATAAAGAGGGATGAAGGAAAATTCACGTTTAATTAGTATCAACACACCGCCACATTTATGATCAGAACGACTAAAAAAAGATGCAACGGTTTTGTCAGCAATGTTCATACCATATTCCAATTCATCCTCTCTGAGCCAATGTTCACAAACACACAAAACATCAAAATTTACAGGAAAATCAAAAAGGAAAGCATCAAGTTCACTAATTTTGTTCCTAAGGCCCTGGATATTTAGGTGAAATACATTTATTATATCATTCCTCAAGTCTACGCCACTTTCCACGGTCTCCGGTAGTTGTAAAAATTTTCGTTACTATTTAATAATATTTGTTCCTTAGAGCTAGTTAATATCCATTAAATAATATCCAATTGGCATTGCTGGGCACAAATGCTGGGTACTGTCCTACATCATTCAAAGATTGAGTACCTTCGTAACTGATGACATCTGCGGGGATATAGAATTTGTTGTGGAGTAACAAATTGCGTGCGTAATCACTCAATTTTGTTTTACTGTTCTCTCCATTCGTTGTTTCTATAAATAGACCACATTTTTTTGTAATTGTTGCTTAGAGTTTGCATGTAGTTTTCTATTACTTGCTTTAGCTGTGCATAGCCAAATATTGTTCCGATGTCAATATCGATTGGTTAAATTATGTTTTTATGAAAAGTAACGTTTAAACAATTATTGCAGTTTTTAGTCCTACAATAACTAAATTCTTCTTTAAATAGTTGTGAGCAAAGAAACGCAATATTTGAAATAGCATTCACTATTATCACGCCAGCAATTTTCTGGCCTCCAAAATAATTTATTCCTGTTAATAGTTCAGTTCTTTTCTTATATGTTGCTATACTAGAACCGGTTTTTAAAAATAATTTTAGGAAACTAAAGCAATCTGTGCAAACATTCTCAACATGATTTCTAAATGAATTGTGTGTACTGGCAAATGCTAAACTATGAAATATACTGTCGAATCCGCCAGTATTTTGAACAATTTATTTTTTATTGAAATAGATATTAATGAAACTTACTTATGAACTTATGAAAGAATTATTAACTGAAACTTCAAAAAATTTTAATTTTCAAAGAGTGTTCTTTATAGAGTGAAAATATTAGCTGTTCCAGATTGCTTAGGTATAATAAGTATATATTTGTGATAAGGAACTGAAAATAGAAAAACTATGATCACAGCAATCAACTAGACATTTTGGCAGCCCAACCTACTTTTGTCAGTTTAGTTTATTTATTAATTTATTACTTAGTTTTGCAAAATAAAATACACTTTACATCGCAACATATGTTTTATTATTATAAGTTTAAAGAGAAAGGTGATTTTTAGGATATTAGATGGTCAGATTATTCAATATTTGTTAATTTTTTAAAACTATTATTATATTAAAGGTTGGGTTCACTGATTCAACAAAACCTGTCCGATATCACAACAACTCAAATTTAAGGTTTTTCTAGTGAAAATAACAGCTGTTCTGAATTGTTTTAATTGTTGTAAGTACTAATTTTTAATATGAAACTTTAAAAGAACTAAAGCCGCAGTGATTAAATAAACATTTTAAGTACCTAGAACAACAAGAACAATTTAGAGCAACAAAAAATATGTGATTTTGCAAAATTAATGTCCGTGTTAAACGTAAAACACATCTAGAACAATTTGAATCGGCAAAGTTTGAGTTATTTTAGATTGTTCTATGTTTTTTAATTCTTATTGTGTAATATAAAACCGCTGACACAAGAATTACTGACTGAAACTTCCAAAAACTTTAATTTTCAAAGAGTAAAGTGCCCTTTAGAGAGTTGTTCTAGTGAAAATAATAGCTGTTCCAGATTGCGTTAGCTATAATAAGTATATATTTGTAATATGGAATTGATAATAGAAAAACTATGGTCACAGCAATCAACTAGACATTTCGGCGGCCAAACCTATTTTTAGTTATAACTTCGTAATGCTGTATCCCATAATTTTGATTTTCTAGAACAATAACTAGAACAACTAGAACAACCCAGAACAACAAAGAAAATTTGATTTTTCCAAAAATGGGGGGCTAGTCAAAAAAACCTGTTTTTTCGTTTTTCTCGCGGAGCTTTTATTTTTTCGATTTGCCGCTTTGGAACAATGTAGAACAACTCTAGAACAATCTAGAACAACAATAAAAAATTTAAAAATCAAAAAATGGGGGGCTAACTTCCCGCACTCAATGATTTCGTGTTACAGTCTTCTTGTTCTTTATAGTGTCAAGTACAGTGATATATGTGCTTATCACCATCCCGTTTGACTTTTTTTGAACAAACGCTTTTAGTTCCTAAAGCGTCATGGCTGCAAAATTCATTCCCTGACTCCAGGATCATGATACCTTTATAAAAAAAAAGAATTTAGCTACCTAGTTTTTAGAAAATGTATCTTGGTAACAAAATTTATTTATTGTGGAATATTATTCATTCCTTTAAATAAATTCGTTCAGATATAAATTAATAATATGGAGAAAACAAAATAACTATTTCCACAGTTCCGTTGGGAATGTTACTTTGTTAACATTTACAATTAGATAATGATTTTGTCTTTTTTTATTTTATTAATTACTTTTAATAGATAACTTTAATACATCATCTTATAAAAGCCATATTAACCTTAGTCGAAAATTAAAGCATCATTTATTTGTAAATACTCTTTTATTTGACATAAATATTATACACTTTTAATTGTTTAAAAATAATAGAATTAAACAATTTCATCATTTCCTTAATAATTTACTTCACTTCCCCCACCACTAGAGATATTCCAGAATTTCAGATGACGAGACTTTACAGGTTTAAACTTGTCTACTCAGAGTGTTCAAAGACGAAACGTTTCTGTGTGTAGTTGGTTACTTTTTAAGTATTTTAACCTTTCGACGAACAATATTGCCGATTTTTGGCGATGAAGAACATAGCTGCTCGTATTTCAACTGTTAAAAACAAAAACAAACTAGAAAATGAGTAAATACGGTCCTAAGAATGCTTTTAATCGGGTTTTATTGGGCAACTACGAGTTTCAAATTACCGTTCGGAAAGATCGTATCAAAATCATGAAAAGAAAGAGGTAAGTTTTGCTTTTTTAATCTGTAAAGTGAATTAATTTCGTAAACTTGTAATTAAAATTTTAAAATAGGTTTATTCTTAAATATCGAATATCCCGGGTTTTAAAGAAACTTGTGCTACTCGCTGTTAGATGTCGGTAATCGTTGAATCGGTCCCCTCGGTCGGTAATCCTGACACCCATCCCCCACCAGGAGCAAACAATTGAAATCACTTGTGTCGAAGTGGTTTTCGAGTTCAATTCGGCGGTTTTCGACGCCATTTTTCACGAAATAATCAAGTTTTGCCATCGTTTATCGGGCTATTCTTTCCTCTACAAACGTAATAGTTATTCGTCGCGCTTTTAATAACATCGAATACCCACAAACGGCGTCTGAAAAGTAGTAAATCGTGCGGTGCGTCTGGTTGAAATGACAACGGCAGTTTGTAAACAACGGGCGACGTGATCCGTTCTCTTTAGCCTTTTCGATTTTATTGTAGATATTTTTATGGTGGTCCATGTGAAAAATAATAATAAATAACGTGAAATTTATTGTTTAAGAATCGTAATCGTGTTTTCGCTTGTTTTTCGACTAAATTTCAACGAAATATTATCAAACACGGCTTCAGATATGGTAAAAAGGTAAGGAAACAGAAAATTTCTATTGTTTTGCAGTTACTCTAGATTTTTAGGTTATGTTCTTTTTCTCATATGTTAATTATTTAATAAATTTTACTGTTTTTTTTTTAATTTGATTTTATCAACTAACTTGTGCTTTATTTATCTTAGTGTGTTTTGGCATTTTCGTAAATTTTATTAATTAAGGAAAATTAACTAAAAATATCTTCGTATAAATATCATAATTTAACTAATTAATGACTAACATATGACTAAGAAGTTTATAGTGAACCATGACATTTTTGTTGACATTATACAGTATGTTTAAAATTACACATACGCCATTGATATCTTCGAAACTATGAATTGTTCAAATGATCCAAATACCTTGATTTAAACTAAATTTAAGGTACACATCACCTTAAACATTGTATTTTCACTTTTTGAATATTAGATATAATCAGCTTACAAGTCCTAATAAACAATCATAAAGAACACAGCCAAATTATAAAAGTGTGCTTAATTGTAAAGTCGGTTCTTAAAATAGTATTGCATCTACTCTATAAGATCGTTGACAGCTATGAGGTTGATATATTTTCCTTCCAGATATTTACATATTTGATATTTTAATACTATTTCGAACACTTCCCCAAATAAAAGCATGATAGAGGCCTATAGGTTGAGTCATTCTCATGGGATTTTCTGACAATTACGAAACGCAATCTTTCTAATGTGTTGGTTGAAGAATTCACACAAATCCATCACAATTGAAGTTTGTATTATTTTTATTAACCTTACATTTAAATTATTACAGTTTCGATTAGAGATCATCCCTTACTGTACCATGTCATTTGTACAAACTGTTACCATTAGCTGGTGTTTGAAGTGTCAAGTTGATTGTTACCTTTAATATTGCATATAGCCTTATGTCAATTCTCAATTTTGAACACATACGCTTTTACAACTTATATCGAGGCTGGCTTGCAGAACCGGGAGAAGACATTGCCGTTTTTTTGGATCTAACAACGGATTACGACATTATGGAGAGAATGACTCTTTAAGTTCTAAGTCTAATCCCTTGTAAAACGCTGGGCTTGCTGCTGAATAACACATGCTCATTGACAGGCCCTTAAAAAGAGAGTAGGTGGTGATTGACACCTACTCCAAACAAAATAGAGTGAGATATACACCTCAAAGAAAAGACGGCACACGTCAGCTGGACATTTCGTTTGGTGGTCGGCCTGTGGCGCACATATCACTCATACCTGAAAAAACAGCAGCTAAAGTACGTACAAGAAACAATATCGTTCAGAAATTATGTGGCACAACATGTGGATCAACAGCTACAACCCTGCAGTGCTGCTGAGTACTGCTCACCCGTCTGGCTGAATAGTCGACACACCTTAACAGCTTAGATGCCCATCTAAATTCCACCATGCGAATAATCACTGGCTTCGTATGTTCAGCCACATTCTATGTCTAAGCTGGTAAGGTAGGACGCTTCGACCCGAGAATACCAAAAAATGTTGGATAATAAACAGCAGAGACCTCAGACCCCATGTGTAACTGCGGTAGGGAGAACCAGACTATTGAAAATATTGCTAAAAATTGCGAAATATCGGCATACCCTGGCGGATTGAATAACTTGATAATCAACATATAGCTGTCCGCCCATTTTGTGTTAACTATACGTTTGTTATATTATATACAGTCTGTCCGTAAAATAACGGATATAGGCGATAAAATCATTATAGTAGACGCCACGAGAGCTGGCAGTAAATCATCATTTTCCGCTCTTCCAAATGCCATACGTAGTTCACAAACCGCTAAAGAGTAATGTGTGTTAGAAAGAGATAGCATTAGTTTACCTCTGTTCTTCTAAGGGATGTAACTCTATAATTATAACCTCAAATCGAAACGTCTTGTGTGTCTTGTTGTGCGAAAATGTTTTCTTTGAAAGGAAAATCATAAAATAATATTTTTGACAATGTTTGACATATAACCTCCATTACTAAAATAACCTAACATACATTTAAATGTATGTGGTGAAATAATCAAAGTCGTACGTCCATATCTTGATTCATACCTTTGATTATATATAATATGGATTGAGTCAACGAGAGAGATAGCTTGCGCAAGGTGATCGAACCGAGATAGACATAGAAGCGTACTGCCATATGATGGGTGTACTGATAGAAGTGAGATAGATATAGAAGCGTACTGACATATAATATATCTATCTTTGTTACACTTTCACATTATCGCTTTCCATCTGCGTCTATTCACCTTGAGCAACATTTTTGTTTGTAGATATATTCAGTTAGCTCAATCCATATTATATATAATCAAAGATTCATACCATTTTTAAGCGATCTGTGTAACTACCAGCTCTCGTGGTTTCTACTATATAAACGGTTTATGGAAAAATCACTGAAACGGGTCTAAAAATTTAAATTTTTTGCAATTTTTGTAGATTTCAAATTATTTCCGCCATTTTTAAAGGAGTTATGATTAAAGGAATTCCGTTATTTTATTACGGAATATGAAAGAGGATTTTTTTTCTGAATCTAGTACAAGAAAAATGAATTTAAAGTTAAAAATAACAGTAACTATGGTAATTATTTTAAACAATTTTCAAAGTGTCAAAACTGATTTAGTAAGTAGTTGACCTCTTTAATACAACATATCCTGATATGTGTTACATTTATGTCTTATACTCTTATTACAATATGACCAGAAGTAATATTGAAATTATTATTGTAAATTGTTATACAGCTTTTATAGGTACAATTTGTACTACATATTTGAATACTTGTCTTTGAACATTGAGAACAATTTCTGCAAATTCAGTACATCTGGTAGATAGGTCTTTTATATTTTGAATTTCATTTGCAAATAGTTACTTCTTATTCGAAATCCCAATTTATCTTTTGGTGCACTTCCAGAGTCCTTCATGGACTTCATTAAGTACTCGGTTTTACTTTTTGCACTACCATGCAAACACTACCAACCACAATTTCTTAATGATGCGTCATTTTCTTTTCTCGGCCATCTTCGCTGTATGGGTACCAAACTCATAAGACCACATAAATAAAAGCCATTATTTTCAGCGAATAGTTGAACCGTTTACACGTACATTCAACACCCATGGATACGTAAACGTAATTCTTGGGTTACTTTCTTAATTTGACCATGCACAGATCTCTTCTAGATTTTCTTTTCGTTCACCTCAACAATATTATCACTTTAATGATCAATACTCTCATCCATTTGGCAACGCGATTTGTCTAATTAAAATAAAGTTACTTTAATATTGTAAAAATACAACTTAACTTTATAATGTTGTAACTCACGATTTAGTGTCGTAGTTATTACGTGCAGTTATTGCGATTTCCATCCACAACTTGAAAGTTGGAAAACAGGTGGACTTATCTTGTTTTTCTTGGGTACAAGAACTATTAAATAGGAAATAAATATCTCTTGATTCTAAGGTTGTCGACAGACTGAGTGTATGACAAGAGTGATTTAGTCATTACCGTTAGAAGGCAGTTCAGTTCAAATTTTATTCATAGTGGAGTAGCTGGGTTTTCCTCTGCACCCTTCATTTGTGAATATTTGAAGCGCAAATTATACAAATTTGGCTGAGAAATGCGGTTAAAAAAAATACATAGATATTTAACTCACCTTTAATATTTACACATTTTGTGTATTGGGGAACTATTTTATGTTTCCATTTTCATGGTATAATACTTTCTCCATAATACTGTATCAATAAAAAAATACGGGTAATTTGTTGATAAAAGTTAACGGTGGTACTTATGTTTTTAATCTTATGGCGTTTCTTTTATTTATGATGCTTACAAACGAGTGTGAAAAGTGAAAAGCGATCGGGATTTTAAATCGATCTAATGTTATAACCACCGTCTTTTCAACATTGACATTGGAGTGTATGTGTAAATAGACAAAATTGTCACCGTTGGGCTACTTAAAATATTTCTACATAATGTTAATTCAAATACGATGTTTTTTATATTCTTGTTCTCTCCGTCCCTCATGCAAAATTGCAATGGTTCATAAAATATTTTAGCTTCTTATTGAGTTGTTAAAGATAGATTCTCATGTGTTTATTTCTCTTTTACCGCAGCAATTCGCATAAATAAATTGAATTTGTTTATATTACAAGTTGTTTTTTCGCCGAAGTTAGCAATATAAACAGCAACTAGTGATTATATGGATTTTATTATGCACGTCAAGATAAATTTGATACTTTGGATCTGAATTTTAAAAATTCATAATAAGATGTTACTTATACGGGAATAATAAATTATTCTATCTGGGGATTAAATTAAATAAATAAATTTCAATTGAACCTGGAATATGGTAGAGTATAATCCCTTGTTTCATTAATTAATCATTTAGTTATCGTCAGCAATCAACTTTTGTAATATATAAATTAGGTAGTTCTTCAAAACTTTCTCATTTCATTATATGCGCTAATTCAGTTATCTGAGAATATTCATGATCAAATAGTAATCTCAGTTAGAACTATAACTACTCTATATTACTTTCTAACAGGCATTGTGACTGGTTAATCTCGATACGACAGTGTTGAATTGTCGTACTGTTTAAACTTAGTATCTGTTGTTACCCATCTGCGATTTTCGTGACCGCGTAAATTTGATGGTATTTCTTTTGATATTGCGATTCTTTGTTTAAGTTTTTGTAGAGAGGCGTTAATGTATGTCTTTTAATAATGAGAAAGTTGTACGACTTAACAGAAAAGATATTTATAGGTTATAACACTGTATTTTTCGAACATAAATTTACTTTGTTTAAGAAATGTGAAGGTTTCTAAAGAAAGTTACGCTGTAGAATAAAATACAATTTCATTAAAATAATCTTACATTTTAAAAATGTTCAAAATCTTCACTATTTGCATCATGCACAATGAGAATTTGATAGGTATAACAAGTTCTGCGCTTTTCCAGCCAGGGTTTTTTGTCGCACTGTCTCTATTTACATTG